GAAAGAGGAGGAGGAGAAGGAGAAGGCGCAAGAAGGAGGTTGAGGTTGTGATAGAGAAGAAAGGGAAGGAGAAGGAGAAAGAGGAGGAGGAGAAGGAGAAGGCGCAAGAAGGAGGTTGAGATAGAGAAGGGAAGGAGAAGGAGAAAGAGGAGGAGGAGAAGGAGAAGGCGCAAGAAGGAGGTTGAGGTTGAGATGGACAATAAGAAAGAGGGGAAAGCACAAGAAGGTTGAGATGGAGAAGAAAGGAGGATGAGAAAGAAAACGTTTGAGGTTGAAATGGGAGGAAAAGGCAAAGGAGGAGAAAGTACAAGGAGGACTTTGAGATGGAGGAGGAGAAGAAGGAGAAAGAGAAGGTGAAGAAGAAGGAGAAGAACAATGAGAAAGAAGAGAAGAAATATATGGAAAAAGAGGAAGAGGTAGTTGGGGTAGAGCAGCAGAAGAAAAATAGGGAGGAGGAAGAGAAAGAAGAAACGACACAGAAGAAGGTGGCGGTCAAGGTAGAACAGAAGGAAGAGGGACAGAAGAGTGAGGAGGAAGAGAAAGAAGAGAAAAGACGTGGAAGAGGAGATGGTGGCTGAGATAGAACAGAAGAAGGAGCAGGAAATAAACCAATGCCGTTGGCGCTGTCAATCACTTGGATGAGCTGTGAAATCCAAAACTACAGAGTCACATGCAAATATGAATTTGACTGCAGAAGAGGTCAAGGAGCAAATCAACTCGTGTGGAGGAACGTTACGTTTCTTGGCCCGCTGACCATTTTGGCAGCAACGGGCCCTCTGCGGATGGGTCGAGAAGGTTCCCTGGAGATTCCTCCCCCCTCCCTACTCACATCTATCATGGTTCTCCAGCCCTCGGTCTTGCCAGAGAGCAGAGGTTCTGGCCGCGCCAGGCCAGCGTTGTTGATGCAGACGTCAACGCCTTGATGGAGAGTCTTGATGGCGGAGAACATGGACAGAATCTCCTCTTCCACCGAGAGGTCACACTTATACGGGATGAGGACGCCCGGATACCCTGCACTCTCGCACTCGGCTGCCAACTTCTGAAAGGGGAACAGGAAAAGAAAAGTGTTCTGAAAAATCCCTCTTTATTTACACGCTAGCCGATAACCCAGTCTTGGCCGAGTATTTATTTATAGGGGGTGGGGGGGGATGTCAGGACCAGACATAATTTCTAATGTTGGATTTTCCCCCTTACCAGAGGGAGCCCTCCTGTGGAGTATTGTGAAGCCGTTACCATGGCAACTCCACTGCGCTGCACAGTAGAAGCCATTTTACGACAGTACAGTAGAAGCTGTGTTAAGGCACAACAGGCAGTATCTTAACAGAACACACACATCAAGGGGTTTTAGGGGTATCTTACCCCACACAGTATTTTTCTCCAGAGAGTAAGTCATCTGTTTACCAATTTTGGTTGAAATTGCTGCAGGCGTTCCAGAGTTAACATACACACAGAAAGCCATTTATAGGTAGGTAGGTAGGTAGGTAGGTAGGTAGGTAGGTAGGTAGGTAGGTAGG